CGCCCACCTGCCCGTTCCCAGAGCCGGGGAGAGAACCCAGGAGTCCTGGCTCCCAGCTCCCCTACTCTGACCCACCAGACCCCACTCCCTTTCCCAGAGCTGGGGAGAGAACCCAGGAGTCCTGGCTCCCAGCTCCCCTACTCTGACCCACCAGACCCCATTCCCTTTCCCAGAGCTGGGGAGAGAACCCAGGAGTCCTGGCTCCCAGCTCCCCTACTCTGACCCACCAGACCCCACTCCCTTTCCCAGAGCTGGGGAGAGAACCCAGGAGTCCTGGCTCCCAGCCCCCCCACTGTAACCCACCAGCCCCCACTCCCCTTCCCAGCGGGCGGCTCCTTACCAGACAGGTTTCTTTCTGTGGGCCGAGTTCACTGGCCCCAGGCGTCCTGCTGGCCCTGCCACCTCCCGGCCCGGCCTGGCCGCCAGGCACCTCCTGCCGCTCGGCCACCTTGGGGGCCTCCTCCATCTGCAGCAGGTTGAGCTGGAGTGGGGAGCTGCAGCGGGAGTCGAAGGGGGGCGAGTTGGGCTGCTCGGGCGTGGTGGAGCGCGAGGCCTCGGGGGGGGGCAGGCAGGCGGGGACCCAAGGGCTCCCCGAAGGGGGCCGGGAAGTATGGCGGGGGCAGGACGTAGTTGGGGAGCATCAGGGCCACCATGGGGGCCACCAGGGGGGCAGGGAAGTGGGGGGCGGGCTCGGCGCAGGGCTGCCTGGGCGGGAAGACGGGCAGCACGGCGGGGAAGGGCAGGGAGGCGGCCGAGGGGGGCCAAGGGCCGGGGGGAGGCGGGGAGCCGGTGCTGTCGGACGCCTTGTGCTGCTTGACGCGCTTAGCCTTGGATTTGCCGCGCCGGCCGGCGCCCCGCCGCAGGCCACAGTGCCCTGCCAGGAGAAGACAAGGCTGGGCGTTAGCAAAGGGAGGACGGGAGCCAGGCACAAGCCCCCCCTCACCCCCGGATGCGGCCCCCACCTGGCTCTGCGCCCGGTCCCTCCTGCCGGCTGCGCCCGGCCGGCACGTCGAAGACGTGGAGACGGCTGAGCTCCTGGAAACGAGTCAGGAAAGCCTGCTCCTCCTGCTGGGTGTGCACGGACAGCACCTCCTTGGTGAGCCCCACACGGCGGTACTGCTCCCGGTCGGGGGGCGTGGGGCCGGGGCCCTCCTCCAGCATCGCCGTGTCTGGGGGAGAGACCAAGGGGGGGGGGAGGGTCAGCTGGGGGGTGCCACCACACGGAGCCACGTGCAGGGAGAAACGTTACGCAGTGAGCGAGCAGCAGAGCCAGGAATGGAACCCAGGAGTCCTGGCTCCCAGCCCCTCTCTAAACCACCAGCCCCCACTCCCCTCCCAGAGCCGGGGAGAGACCCAAGGAGTCCTGGCTCCCAGCCCCCACCCTCTAACCACCAGCCCCCACTCCCCTCCCAGAGCCAGGGGAGAGAACCCAGGAGTCCTGCTCCCAGCCCTTCCCCCCCACCATGCCATCAGTGCCCAGGGAGGACCCTGTGCGGGGGCCCCCCGCAGCCAAGGAGCCGTTGCCAAGCAGCCGTGCTTTGTTTGGAGACCGCCCCCCAACCCACCCCCATCCCAGTGGGGGCTTCACCGGCGACTCGGCCGCCATCAAGGAAGGAAACAAGGGAGGGAAAAAAACGTGTCAGCGGGAGGCAAAAAAAGGGGAGGGGGAGGAACGAAAATCCATTCGGGGAGGGCCACGAATCCAGAGGCCGTCCCGGCCCCTCCCGGAGTCACCCGCAGGGGCGTCCTGACGGCAGGCGTGGGGGTAAGGGGGAAAAAGGCAAATTAAATACACACGGAGGGGGGGGGGGGAACCCAGCCACCCCCACCCCCACCCCCCGTGATGCCGGCGCGTCACGGAGCCGTGAAAGGAAGTGGTTATGGGGTGCAGGGGGAGCAGAGGCTGCCGGGGAGATAAGGCCCCCTGAATATTACGCTGTTACTGAGACGCGGCGGAGGTGGGGTAGGGGGGGCCACGGCAGGGGGAGACCGGGCGGCTCGGCTCTCTGCCGCGGCCGGGAACGGGGCCGGGGAGCTGGCAGCCCCGGGCCCCTTCCGCCCGCCAGCCCAGCGGTGCTTCCCCTCCCGTACCCGATTCTGGGGCTTTCTTATCTCCCACGTGGACGATGGTACTGCTGAAGCTACACTGACTGGTGAGGGACACCACGCTTTCGGCTTTGCTGGGCAACGCCAGCGGGGCCAGCGGGGGTCCCACCGCCGCGGCGGGCTCCTCCTCCTCCCTCCTGGACCGGCTTGGCAGCATTTCCTCCGCCGCATCTGTTCAAAGAGACAACGAGGGGTTAATGAGGGGAGACGCGGGGGGGCGCGCCGCAGTCCCTGGGGCGGCACGGAGGGCGGACGGGGGGGGGAGGGGGGGGAACATCTTCCCAGGCCGTTTTCCCATGGGGAAAACATGGCCACGACACCAAACATGCCCCGAATCGTTTCGATTTCAAGGGAGTTTCGGCGTCGGGAGCCGGCAAACTTTAACACACGGACGGGAAGGAAGCATTTCGAGGCGGTTGAAGGGTGGGACGTCGACGGCCGTGAAACGTGTCTCCCGCTGGCCGAATTTCAGCTGTTTTTTCCCTGCTGGGCCGATCTCAGTGCCCGGGCCGGCATCACGACCCCCCTCCACCAAGCCCCGTCAGCAGCAACAGGGTAATATCCAGAGGGAGAGAGAGGGCGGCAGGTGGACCGGGGAGGGGTGGGGGGAACAGGGCAAGCGGGACGATACCTTTGGCCAAGTCGGACGCCTCCCTGCCTGCCCGTTGTTTGTCGTCGTCCGAGTTGGAGGAGCCGGTGTACGAGGAGGAGCCGCATTTCCGCTTCACCCGGCTGGGGATGTTGCAGCTTTCCAGATACCTAAAAAAGCCACAGGTCCCAGGGTTAGCGGGGACAAGGGATCCTTATATAACCAGCCGCCCTGCCCCAGAGGTGGCCGCATCTCAGCACCAAGCGAGGGGTCCCCGTGTAACCAGCCACCCCGCCCCACAGGTGGCCGCATCTCAGCGCCAGGTCAACCCCCAGTGTGGGGAACGGCTCTGAGCTGGGGTTCCCGGCCCCTGCTCACCGGATGATCCCGTCCAGGCAGTTGATCTGCTGGTAGGAGTAACTGGAGGGCTCCTTCTGGCCAGACTCCTCAGAAGCGCCCACTTGGCCCGGGCCCTGCTGCGCCTCACACGGGGCCTCCCTGCCCAGCCCGGCGCCATCCTGGGGCGTCTCCAGGCCTGCAATGAGGGGGGGACCCGGTTCAGCTGGAGCTGCCCTCGATCCGCCCCCCCCCCACCTGCGTCTCCCCAGCGACTGGGAGTGAGCAAAGAGGGGCTGGCAAACCCACCTCCCCTCCAATCTGCCTCCCCCTGAGCGCAGGGGCCCCAGGGCTCTCACCTGCGCAGGGGGGCTTGGCAGCTGGCGGCTTGGCGCGGGACTCGATAAACACCTGCTGGCCCCGGTTCTTCACCATGTGCACGTCCTTACAGAACTGCTGGAAGGTCATCTGGGGACAGGAGGTGGGGTCAGGGCAGCGGGAAGGCCCCCGCCCCCGCTCTCACCACTGGGGCCCACTCCCCTCCCAAAGCTGGGGAGAGAACCCAGGAGTCCTGGCTTGCAGCCCCTTCCCCCCTCCCCTCCCAGAGCCAGGGAGAGAACCCAGGAGTCCTGGCTCCCAGCTCCCCTGCTCTAACCCACCAGCCCCCACTCCCCTCCCTGAGCCGGGGAGAGAACCCAGGTGTCCGGGCGCCCCTGCCCCCTCCCCCCCCAAACCCACCAGCCCCCACTCCCCTCCCAGAGCCGGGGAGAGAACCCAGGAGTCCTGGCTCACAGCCCCTTCCCCCTCCCCTCCCAGAGCCGGGGCTCTTACCGGCCTCTGGGCCCTTGTCTCCTCGGCGGGGAGGCCATTGCTGTCGCTGGAGGAGGCCGCGCTCAGGAACTGCTCGTGGGAGGCGTTGCTGGCCATGCTGCAGAGCCCCATGGAGCCGTTGCTGTGCACAGGCTGTGGGGGGGAGGGAAGCAGGGGGGGGGGTTAGCACCCAGAGGGAGGCACCTCGGTGGGAGACGATGTGGGGCTAAGGAGGGAGCATGACCCACCTGAAGGAGCAGCCGATGGATCTGCTCCGAGAGCTCCTGGATGTCGGGCTCCAGCGGCCGCATCTTCAGTGCCTTGGGGGCCGTGAAGACGTCTTCGTTGAGGGGACCCCTGTGCGGCGGGGGAGAGAAGGGTCAGTGCGAGGCCGGGCGGCCCCCGATACCGCGAGGCAGCCGGAGATCCCTGGAGGCGGGGCGGGGGGGGGGGGGAGGACGGTACTCACGTGCGCACTTTGTGGCGCCCCATGACGAAGGAGACCTTGCGACTCCAGGGGTTGACGAAGCTGGACCAGCTGGTGTCGATGGTGACATACTCGCCGTTGCGGGTGCAGAAACGGAGCGGGGAGTGGTCGAAGGGCTGCCCGCCGTGCTGGAGAACTAGGGGTGGGGAATAAGGATCAGTGTCTGAGATACACACACCCCGTTCCCCTCCCAGAGTCGGGGAGAGAACCCAGGAGTCCCAGCTCCCAGCCCCCACTGCTCTAACCCACCAGCCCCCACTCCCCTCCCAGAGCTGGGGAGAGAACCCAGGAGTCCTGGCTCTCAGGCCCTTCTGCCCGCGGCCTCTCTAATGCAGGGAACTGACTAGGTAGGACACGGCCAGATGATGCCAGTCGGTGAAAACTCCCCAAGGCCAGGCTGATCTGTCTGGGGGGTGGGGTGGGAGGGAGGAGAATTGCTTCCTGACCCCAAACCTGGCAATTCTTTGGACCCCAAGGAGAGCTAGCCCCATCACCCAGACAGCTAGGGAGAGGTTTTATGTGCCAGCTAAGGTCACCAGCCCACCCTGCAGCTGAGCTCTGACGTTTCAAAGGAAGGTGGAAAAAAGATCCCTGAACAGATTTTGCCAATTGCACATGGGGAAGAATCTCCCTTCCTGACCCCCGGCAGGCTCCAGGCTGAAGCCCTGAAGCATGAGAGTGGATTAGAGTCAGCGTCCGAATGGGGAGCTGCAAATGACACTCACCCTTTGGTTCTTTCCCCCCGGCACCCTTGGGATTCCCCCCACCCACTCACTTTTTTTGTGGATAGCCAGCATGAGCGGCCTGTCCTCCGGGTGCAGGTAGAAGAGGACGGGCGTGCCAATCAGGTCCTGGGGGAGGTAACCCAGCAGGGGGGCAGCCCTGGGAAAACAGACAGGCACCGTGAGCTGGCATCCCTGGGTGGGTCCCGCTGCCCACCAAGGTCCCGGCTTCGACAGGCCCCACAGCCCAGCTACAGACAAGGCTGACCCAAAGCCACAGGACATTAGGGGGCGGCGCCGGTCCGCTGGAGACCCTCCAAGCCTCGCTGTGCTGCTGGGGGGCAGCCCGGATAGATAGAGGGTGTCTCCCGCTCCCACCCCGGGCTCGGCCAAGCTGCTCACCTCTCGTCCACGTCCTGGAACAAGCAGCTGGGGGTATGTCTGGTGGTGAAGATCCGTTTATCGGGCGGGATCCGGGGAGCTGGGGGGGAAGAGACACGGGCTGGGGTTAGGGGCACAGGGCCACCTGCTGGCCAGGCAGAGGGAGGAAACTGAGGGGCCCCCCGGCCCTGTTCCCCTGCCCCAGCTCACCTTCGTATCCCGAGTGGATGCGCTC